CAGGGGCAGGTGGGGGCAGTTGTCTCTCATAAAAATCTAAAATTATCATATATTTTAGATTTTTTCTATGTATTTTCTATTTAATATATGTTTTTAGCCCCCTAAAAATTTTATTCACCCCTTTAAAATTTTATAAGTTCAAGTTCGCCTTAACTACCAAAATAAATCTTGCGTCTGTCCCTGATTCGAACATGAAATTTTAAATATATAGTCATTTATAAAAATTATGAAAATATGAAAAAATAATTTATATATTTAATTTGTGTTTGTAACATGGATTCGTTAAATAAAATTTTAATATAATTTAATTTTTTAAAATATATATATACATATATAATAATTGAAAAATAATTATGAAAAATAAAAGGAAAATAATTTAATTTAAAAAATAAAAATTTTAAAGTTGTACTTTTAATAGATATTAACAATATATAAATAATAGTGTAAGTGTTTTTTTAAATGTTTGATTTATTTTGGTAGTTAAGGTGCACCCACTCCAAGCTAAAATTTCATGTTGGATTTCAATAGTTTTTTATTTTCATTTTTTCTGCCATAATATATAAAACATTTATAATTTAAGTAGCAAATATGTGGTTAGTTGTAGTGGTTGAGGTGTTGTTTCATATACACAAGGTCCATGGTTTGATTCTCTCTGGCGCCTAGATGTCACATGCCTTTTAAAATGTTTAATAAATAAATATACTTCTACTATAACATGTGTCAAAACCCATATTAAAACAATATGAACTCTTTTACACGTATACATGCCAACTAGAAATTTAAAACAACAATAGTATGTCATTACTGATACCAATAAGTAATCTTCGATGATTGATGCCAAGCTCAACTCCTTGCTCTACTTGCTCCTTTTACCTATGCGTGAAAATCATCACATGCTAAGTATACACTTAGTGAGGCATAAGAAGAGTGAGTAAAACATATTAAAACATAAGTAAGCCATAAAAGATCAAAATACGAATTAAATCGTATAAAATATATTTAAACGCATAAAACTAACTTGATAAGCCAAATTTCCGTCACATAACCTGCGAAACATTATTTCATATGCATAACATACTTATCAATCAATCTATTCAAAAATATCCATTCACAACCCAATGTATGACAGATGAAAAAGCATGGTACATAAATTGCACATAAGTGTTAAACGAAAGTATATGTATTGTAATAACAACACTATGCTAATATATCGAAATGGTAATTCACAAACTCATTATGAACACCATCAATGCACACATAGTACCATGGTACACAAAGTACTACTCGAAGTACACAAAGTACTGGTACGAAAATGTAATAATGCATTAAACAAAATCAACCGATAACCATCATACTCAAAGTATGTCGAAATGCACCTATGACTCTCAATGCACATACAATAGGCTATTATGTCCCAAAATACAAATTAAACATTTATTCTGAAACACCAATAGATGTTAAATAGAATAAGATACATCCAATTATTTTAGGGCAGTTCCTACCCTAAAATCCTTTAATAAAATCATTTTCATAAACTTTATGAAAATACTTCAGAATACGTTAAAAACATGCTTAGTAAAAACACTCAAGGTTGACTCATCGTAAGTCGTCCTCATATCATATAAGTACATATTAAATACACTCACTTTAACACTATTTATAAAAGTCAAAATATAAGCCTCACTAAGCTTTAAGCTTGATCCTCTGTTTTAAATTCACTTCTATTAAGAAGTTCATTACAATTTTGTATTCTGGCAGTTTGCATTACCTTTAAAGAAATATTATTCTATATTAATCTACTCACTCAAAAATTATTCTATTTATACCAATGGAAACTAGACTTGAATAAAAATTGAACCATATAAGGAACTTCTTCGAGTTCAATTTGTACAATTTATAGTGAATTTTCAAATTTGATTTACAGAAGTTGTTTTGAGCAGAATATGCCACCCTGTTTTTTGACATTTCCTCGATTAAAAATTCATATATTTTTGTATACTCCTCGAAATCAGTTTACGTTTGTTCTAAACAAAACTAGACTGATATACGAATTTAAAGGTATAATATTCATCCTCTAATAATTTCTTTAGAATTTATGGTGATTTTCTAAATTTACTGTTCAGAACAAAATTTCTAGGCGTGTTTCACCAACTTGCATTTTCAACTTATTTACTAATTCTATTATATCACCAAATGAACATGCATGTTTGAACCAAAAATCACATAACATTTAGGAATCACTTTTGACCATTTTGACAATGTCACTGGCTCATTGCAAGCCAATGTTTGTACTATAGCATAAATACGAATTGAATATGCATTCACCTGGCGTCCTTAGCTTGCAAACCTTCCTTAGAAATTCACATTCATCCTTAACTCTAATTTTGTTCGATCTTGAATTCAATCATAATCTAAATGAACATCATTATAAAACATAAATATTTCAAACAACATTTTAGAAACTCACTAACATAGGCCCACAATGGAAAATAAATTCCTAAAAATATTTCGATGCTCATTCGATACAATTTCCATGTTACAACATAAATGTTGACTATCACATTAAGCTGACCATTCTAACTCCTTTTTATCCAGTATATCCAAACTTCACATAACACTTTCATTTAAGTTCCAAACTTTTCCATATTTATGATTTTATCCTCAACTTTTCTCAACTTCCCAAAATGACCCAATTTCACATTTTAACATCAATTTCAACAATCTAACATAAATATCCAGCATAGTACAACAACAACTATTTAATAATTACACATTAACCCCATAACTTGTCATAATTATTAAATAGGTCCCCTAACTTTCACAAAATTATAAATTGGCTCAAATAATTTTCTAAAGCTTGTAGAACCTTCCGAATATCATTTCTAAGCTTAGGGAAATTTTTCACAAAATTTTCCCTAGTTTCTTTCTTAGGGAAGAACACTTTAGGAGTTAGGGTTTTAAGGTTTTCACTTGATTCGAGCATGAGATCAACCTCGATTCAACATTTCAAGACTTCTACAATCAAACCCCTAACTTAATTTCATCAAATCACAATCTTTCTCCAAATTTAGGGTTAGGCTGAAATCAACATGATCTTGAATATTCTTGTGTAAGTGTTTTTAATCATCAATCAAGCTTGTAATTGATTATACAACCTCAATAACATCAAAATCCATCATCATTTCTTAAAACTCTAACATGAACATAAACCCTAAAATTTGGGATCTTTAAAAACATGCAAGATTAGAATGCAATAATGGTACCAAATGATAGTGTTTTCCGAATAGAACAATTTTATATTTCACAGCTTGATCCAAAATCCAAAGGAAATTGCTTGAAAATGCAAAAATAAAATTTCTCACCTTATTCCATGAAGCTCATTGCTAAGGGACTGAAAAACACCCAACTTTCATGAAATTTCTCCTTAATTTCATGTTACTTTATTGTGTATTTAAGCTTAAATGAATTTAAAATTCATTTAATTGAGAAATGACAATTTTACCATTAATGAACCCTTATATTTACATCCATACCAAGCCACGTAACACTTATCATCTTTATAAAGTCAAAGTTGAACCAAAATTCTTTCACTTTACAACTTTGTCCATGCAATCTTTCCAAAATTTCAATCTTGTCATTTTTCATCCAACGGTCCAAAATGAACATGGAGATAAATTCTCAAATCTAATGGTCCATATTATTTTCTATAATTTTAACATGTGAAAATAAAATATTTTAAGTTTAATTTGATAACCTTAAAATTTTTTCAGAATTTCTATTCGATCCGATTTATCGAATTTTTATCGGACTTTAACACTTTGTAGCTTTTAACATAATTTTCGAATCAAGAATCTGATTTTTACCCGAACGTCATTCTTGGGGGTGAACTATTCATTTACGATACAAAATACATAAAATTTGAAAATTAAACTTTTGGTCCCTAAGCTTTTGGAAAATTACCTTTTTGGTCCTTAAACTTTTCTAATCTTTTTACTTTGGCCACCAAATTTTCAAATTTTACATTTTGATCACTAATCAAAGTTTGGGGGTATTACAACACATATCACCTTTGACAATTGTCATCATGTAATTGGAGGATATACTATATTGAATTAATTTAAAATTATGACTAATTTGAGAAAATTCATAATTTGTAAGGACTAAATGTATAATTAGACCAATTTTTTAACTGCCATGTCAACACTTCCGTCAACTGTTAAGGCTAGTGTCCTGATTGAATGCATTTAAATAGTTGGGTAATCTGATTAACAAGAATTCAAAAATGGTAGTCAAAATGAAAATGAGCTATAGTTGGGTGGTCAATGGTATAGTTTACCCTTTATTTTAAATTATACTATTTATTTATTAATAAAATATTTCTTTATTTTATTTTTCGTCTCGAATTATTTACTCGTAACAGTAGAAGTGATTAAGGATTAGAAGGACCAGAATTGTTAAAATGGATGGCGTTGCCTCCTCGGATATCAGAATCATTCAATTGATGTTTCCCAAGCAAAGCTCAACCAATTGCATCACTATTGATGCTTACTCGTGTTGGAACTTGAAGCTCTTGAGGTGTGTTGGAAACACTTCGTTCCATGGCATATATTCAAAGCCTGCCAAGTTTTTGGGGTAAAGTTGTGTTGAAAACTTATACGTAATAGTGCTGCGGAAGAGACAATCCATAAGTAACATGGGAGGTCCCCCATGCAAGCCATGAAAAACAGGGCAAAATATATGTTTTAATTATATGCATCGGAATTTTTTTAATAGTATGAGATAAATACAAGATAGTATTAGTTCATAATCTTTTTAACCGTTAATAATGCATACACACTCTAAACCAAAACCTCGAAAGAGAACAACTCTCTCTTTAACCTAATCAATGTGTTCAGATATCATAATCCTCTCTCTCAAAGTGTTGAGACTGTCGGAACTAATTATTGTTAGGGCCTGAATTAAACCTATACAAAGAAGATGGTTCATCTTTTTTTAAAGAGTATCAGATTACTCTGATATCAGCAAGAGATTGTCTCTTTCATCAGTTTCTCTTCCTTGGGTACTTCAGCTTATATATGTTATAAACTTGATTTGAGGCAGAATTGTGATCCCAAATTTTCAATGGCAACCCTAATAGGAAGAGCATTTGGGTCTATTATATCTGTTATTTCCCAGTGTTTGTTGGGTTACCGAGACAACAAAAAGGGGGTCGGCAACAATATTCATCACCACAACAAGACTAATAAGGGCCAACCACTTTCTTTGCAGGTTCCCTTTCATCCACCTCCAACAAGTATATGTATACATATTGGTTTTTTGATCCATCTTAAGTTATTGTATTGTTTGATAAGACTTTTTGACAGACACACGTGACACATTAGAATCAAATCTACCGTCACCCGATTGTATCCTCTTAATCTATTAGTTTATGGGTAGCCATCATATCTATACACTTGACAGACATACTAAAAACTCACTATAAAATCTCTGAGTATGATTGAGAGACGAGATGCGATCTTAATAAAATCATCTCTCTTATTCTCTTTTGTTCTACCTTTTATGAAGACAAAATATTTTAATACGATCAAGGATCAATTCCTTACCAATTACAACTCTTCACTCAAACTACAAAAGAAATAACCATCAATAACCTTAAAAAACTTAGTGTATCCCATCAACCATCTCCAACATACCAAACTTGCCTTTCTATTTTAATGATTTTCATACGATAAAATGAGTATTATCTTGCGTCGGTTTAATCTTGAACTATTCATGGTTTTTATATTAAAGTAATCTTTAAAATCTATGCCAATTTCCAATTAACTTTAGATTGGATGCTCAAAGATATTCAAGATGGGTTAGGTTAGATTTTCAACAATTTACACATTTAGTACATAATATTTTTAAAAAAGAACTTCATGATATATGAACGAGGATGAATACATAATTTTATGTTAAGAGGTGTGAATTTAAGAAGCTATATTAAAATTTTAGGAGATGTGAAATTAGATCATCAATAGAAAATATAAAAAAATATTAAAATTATATGATGAATTGCAATTTTAGGGATGCAATCGTACCCCTTAGTCTATCCCTATACACAAACTATGTAAATTAAAATTAAAATTAAATTTTACATAATCTATTTATTTGAATCCTAAACTTAAATTCTAGACCCTAAATTCTAAGAACCCTACAATCTTGATCCTATATACTTAAGTTTTTGCAAGAATCATTGCCTTTTGAGTTAAATATACCAACATAATAATCTTGTGTTAGTTAAATATTTAGTCATTTGAACCACTATGTAAAGGCAGTGTTCTAGGATAAGCTCCAACATCATTTTTTTTGGTCTTACTCTCAATAATATTATGATTAGAATTAAATTAAAATATTAAAGTTTCATAAAAATAATTAAATAAATTAATCGAATTAAATTTCAGATTCTTTTGTATCAATTTTATTTGAGAATCAACAGACAACTAGAGTTTAATACTATTAAGACCCAACATGGTATTTCTTAGTGCCATGGGTTTCCTATAATTGGATGGAGCACAAAGGGTCTTAAAAAGAAGGAACAAAAGAATAATAAGATAGCACAATTTTGTTATAAAAATTGTTATAATATTGGAACGATTATTGATAAATAAATAAATAAATATGATAAAAAATAAAGAACACCAAGATTTTCTACGTAAATCCAAAAGTAAAAAACAACGGGTAGAGAATAATAATTTCACTAATATGAAAGAAATAAAATACAAGAGGATTTTGGAAGAAGAAGAACTTGATATTTAACCCTTTACCCTTAGTATCTATTTATAAGGATAAATATTTTATTACAAAGTCAAACTAAGTAGAAATCTACTTTTAATCAAATTAGAATTTTTACTTTTTCAAATTTAAATATTAATTAATTTGTATCACTTCGAATTCGGTTAAACTCTACCAAAAATATTGTGCATCCATGACTTCAAAATCACAACTTGATCTCTCTTTTCACACAGTGGAGCTCAAAGTCAGGATGTGCTGCATTGGTTGTGAGAGAGCAGTCAAAAGAGGCCTTTACAAGCTTAGAGGTACATATATGAACTCGTAATTTTCTATCTCGTCTCTCGACATAAATTTTAGTTTCATCTGTTAATATATCATTAGGTATAAATTCGTTAGAAGTTGACCAAAAGTTAGAGCAAGTGATCATCGTCGGACATGTCGATCGTCACAAGGTGTTGAAACGAGTGAGGAGGTCGGGGAAAAGGGCCGAGTTCTGGCCCTACTCCGATGTGCCGTTGTACTTCACCTCCATGGGCGACTACTTTAGAGACACGAGGAACGAGTTCAAAGAGAGTTACAATTATTACAAATCCATGCATCGTGGAGACGACAACGTCAGTAACATGTTCAAATATGACAATGTCAATGCCATCTGCTGCCTCATGTAGATACTTGGAATTAAAACAATATAGTACAAATCCATTTTGATAATGTAAATATTATTCGCGTTCATGTAATACTTATTATATGCATTGTATATATAAATATTTATACTTAAATATACGATAATATGGTATTTCAAAGAACCTTTAAATACACAGTTTTTAAAACATTGTTTACAGGGCTGTAAATTAATAGAACGTCCCGTGAATTGTTTATGAATCTTTCATATAATATCCGTTTATGTTTGTTTATTAAGTTAAATAAATGAGTATAAACAAATTTTTCATGTTTATTTACTAAACGAAGAAACATTAGCAGAGGTATGTTTGGTTCGCTTATATTAACTAAAAGCTCGTTTAAAAGTTCCTTTATTGCTAGTTTATAAGCTTGTTTATCACGTTCTCATTTTCTTTTAATTTTTTACATTTAAAATATTAACGAAGGTGGGGTGAAATTGAACGTATGATGAACTTTGGAGTTTAAACAATGGAGCCTTAAGAGTTTAAAGACTAATGATGTAATTTATTCATTTTCTTTGACTTGAAAATGTAAGGATAAAAAGAGAGTGTTGATTGCTTAGAGAACTCAAACCATATAAACAAATATGTAGGTGAATTTTAAAGGAATATGTTCATGAATGCTAAACAAATCAAATGCATATATCTTAAAAAAATGAAGATATTAAAAAATTAAACACACAAATCGAATATAAACACTTTTAAAAATTAATAAACACAAATATAAATTTATTTGATTTATTTGGTCTCTTATTTATTGCTTTGCATTAATGCAAAGATGTAGGTCGAAGGATACGTCATTTATCGCATTATTAGACTGAAATAGTCAACCTCATTTATAAAAGCTTAATTACCAATTTTACAATGGGTAAATACGCGTATGATCCCTGACTATAAGGTCATGTTTTGTTGAGTCTCTTGACTATTAAAAGTTACATAATGGTCTCTCGATTATAAGATGTTTTGTCGAATTCCTTGACTATTAAAAGTTATAAAATAGTCATTTTGAGTACTCATATGTTACAAACTCATTATTTTTCATTAAAAATTGATGGTATCTGCGTTGGACATTAACATGCTAACTAAGATATGATAAAATCATATTTTAATGATGTATACTAGCATCGTCGTTACTTTCAAGCATTGACTCAAAAACATTATATTTTAAGCATCGACTCAACGACATTATGTAAGTGGAGAGTCGATCCACAAAATATAACTCAAACGGTTCTGGGATAAAATTTTATCATATCCCAGGTCAATAGGTCAACGTCTAACTCTCACGATTGTCAATATTTTTAATAGAAAATAACGAGTTTAAAACAAATGAGTAAAGTCGGTGATCATTTTATAGCTTTTAAGAGTCAATGGACTCAATAAAACAGTGTTCTATAGTTGAGGGATTCAACAAAGGATTGTCTTCTAGTCAAGGGACCATTTGTGTATTTTACCCTTTTATAATAAACATTAGTTTAATCGACGCTTTCATAGCAAATAAAAATTAACTTTGGAAAGCATGACGACAGCCTTCCTTTAAATTTATTCCCAATTTAAATTTAAATTTTTTGTTAATTGATAAATTTAATGATTTTGTTCTTTTAAAATAAAAAAAATTATGTTAATATTCATGTATTCTATGATTAAATAGAATGTAAAAGATGTGAAAGATAAAAGTAGTTAATTATTAAATAGTAATTTAGATCAGATTAAATTTGTGTAAATTATTAAATATTTAATCCATATATCCAAATAAATATATCCATATTCAATTAATCAAACTCGTTTAAAAATGATATTCTTATTTTAAGAGAAGTAAATGATTAAAGTATATTTGGACAATGGCGCTAGGCGCATGTATCTCATTTAATGATGATGCATCATTGCCCTGGTGATATGCATGTTATTGCATCTATCATCCTATTCTTCAAGGCATATTATATAGTAGTGGTAATGAGTCGGGTCGGACGTCTTAAATGGTAGTGTAAATTATATATTTAGCACTTATATTATTAGTTTTTGTTCGTTTTAATACTTAAATTTTTAATTTTTTAAAAATATATCTAATGTTTACTTTGTTTCATTTTAATACCCCAATATTAGAAATTTAACGTGTTTAGTACTTAAAATATCAATTTTGGTCCATTTTAGCACCTAAAATTTCAATTTTTAAAACTTAACGTTAAATTTTGAACGGGGTACTAAAATGAAACAAAAACTAAACTTTATGTATAATTTAAAAAAATTGAAAGTGTAGGTACTAATACGAACCAAAATTGATAGTTTAAATACTAAATGCGTAATTTATCCTAAAAAGTAAACCCTCCCACCCATATCTAACTCAGACTATGATTTGTAAGTAGAGGTGGGTATACGGGCTACCCGTCCATTTAGCCTGCGGGTTTTGATGGTGCGGGCTTAAACGGAGCGGTTTAAAAAGTCTGTAATTATAAACGAATTTGAATTTTAAGGCCCGCAGGCCGTCCATTTAACTCGCGGGTTAAACAGGTTTACCCGCAGCCCGTTAAATAAAAATAATTTTAAATGCAATAAAAAATAATGTTATAACTTGCTACACCTTTAAAAATGATCCAGTAACTTGAAAAGGAATGTAGCACCGTCAAAAAAATAAATAATATTTAAATTTTATTTTAAATAGCCGAAAATGATTATAAAATAATATTTTTTTTTAAAATTTTTTTAATCATTAATATATATATATATATATATATATATATATTAACGATATAATTACTTCAACTCAAATTAAAAAAAAAATAATATTCACTTATATCACCAAATTGAAAAACAAATAAAACAATAACCACATTATACTTTTATAAAACACAATTATTCAATGTTATATTATGAAGACACAAAATTGTCTGGAAGCAGAAATTCAAATAGAAAAATTCAACAAAGTCAAACATTATACAAATCTAACAAATTTTCTTTTGTAAAAGCCTTTAAAAGTTGAAAAATATGTTTTCAAATTTTCTTTTACTTTTCTTTCTTATTTTTAATCCAAATATTACGTGTCATGTGATATATTATTAGAATATCACGTGACTTTTTATAATTAAAGAACGAAATGGATAACATACTTCATGAAAAAAATAAATGTTAAAATTAAATAAAAAAATCTTTAAATACCAAAGTGATAATGATGAAAATTTTATAAGACTAAAATACTATATAAATCTTTTAATTTTTTTAAATGAAGAATATTTTGATACATTGTAAATGAAAAAAAATATCAAGCAGCGGTAGAATTATGACAAATATCCTAATAAATTTAAGAACTACAATGGTTATAAGTAACATCATATTTATAGGTAATTTATTTTCTTTTGCTAGAAAATTCTTTAAGTTTATTTTCTCTAAAATTTTATCAATTTTAAATTAAGCAGAATATTGCGAGCTTCGCGGACTACCCGCAGTTATACCCATTAAACCCGCGGGTTTAACGGTCCGGGCTAAAAAACCCGTAATTTAAACGAGCTTCAGTTTTTGATGTCCAAAACCCACACAAATTACGGGTTAAACGGGTAGCCCGCGGGCCTTAACCTATATACCCAGCTCTATTTGTAAGCCTCACTCGATTCAATTCTTAGGTCAAAAACCGCACTTGACATGATATATATATCTATTAGATAAAATAAGAGTTTAATTAAAAATAAAATAAAAAGAATTATTATTATAATGATCTTTCAATATACAATGGATAATTATAATGTCCAAACATATTGTTTCACCTTAAATCATGACCCAAATCCGGGGCTAAATTTTTTGATAAAAAATCAATCTGATTAATATGCAAACATACATGACATACATATATAAATGCATACATACACATGATGTAATCATAAATTGCTATCTTTGATCTATTCCTATTTAAAGCATATGAAACAGAATTATTAACACTTTAGACTCCATAATTAAAAGTACTCCTAATGCCCTTGTGGTCCAGTATCTTACAAGGTAGGTTTTCTGGGTTTGAATCATAAGGTAGCTTAAATTGCTCTAAATGTTGATTGCTTGTTAAGATATAACCCAACACTTCAAATGTCTCTTTCTAAGCATGTTTATACATTAATTAAGCAAAACTCATTACATAACAAATTGAAAAACTGACCCCTCTAAAAAGCATTTTCCCTACTAAAAATACTGCATTTTTTTTTTTGCATTATATTGCTTCATTTTTTGGCAATAAGAAAATTTATTGCAACAACCAAAATTGTTATATTTGGCTGGGATTATCAAAATTCATTGATGAAATGCCAAGACTTCGGTCACCTACAAGTCTAATCAATTGGGCAGTACTAGAGGAAGAAGAGGAGATGACACTAGCTACCTAACATAACCAAACTCTTTAAACAAGTTCAGTCACCTAGAAAATTCCAAGAAATTTTCCTGGGAAAATAAAGTTCGATATCGAATGATCATAGCATTATTATGGGGTTTGGGGTAGGATAATTAGTCTCTTTCAGTTCCCAGGAATATTTACATTGTTTTGTTGTTGTTACTGGTTATTTGCCTGTTGCTGTTAAAGCTTTCTCTTTCATGGCTTCTTTTTGTGACACTTGAAAAGTTTTCAGAGAAAAGAAAGAAGGAAGCTTTAAGGTATCTTAAAGCTGAAGTTATTTGGGATTTTTTTGGTGCAATGGGTTTGAGTAGTAGACCTCAAAAGCCTGTCAATGGAGTTCCCACTAAATGGGTGTCTCTCTTTTGCTTTGCCAGTTTCTTCTCAGGTGTACTTGTAGTCAACAGGTTAGTTTTCCCCCTTTTTCTAATTGGATTATGAAATGATCAAGAATTCAAAATCATGTTTTGAATAATAAAACTTTAAGATTTTATGTTCCTTTTTGATGGGTTTCTGTTTATAATTTAGAAGCTTTGAATATTGCTGCATTTTTCAGCCACCTTTTTCCTGTTTGCTGATTTGCTGCAGAATCATAAAGAAAAAATGGCTCTTTAGGGATAGATTTGGCTCTTATGTTCATAGATTTATGATTCCAATTCTTGAAATCAGTGTCCAGTAATGTGCATTTTTGTTCTCATCAATTGTGTAGCATTTGCATTTCTTGATTCAGTATGTTGTTGCATTGACTAGGGGTGTATGTAGCACTGTTTACAGATTTTGGGATATTTTGGATCCAGTTAGAACCGAGGGAGAGGCTTCTTCCGAGCCGAAACATCCGATGATCAATTGCGATAAGGCATGTTTACAGTTGAATGTTGTCATGAACTATTTTGCTTGCCTGGTTCCTGATGGAGTTTATGTATGTTGGAACAGGATGGTTCCGTTCACGCAGGCAATGTTCTTTCCCGAGTTTCGCAAACCCGCAATGTAATCAAGTATGTTTCGTATCCTAGTTTCAGTTTTATCCTTCGACGGAAGGCTTAAGTATGTCTGAAATGCATTTGGAAATTACGGAGGTTCGAATTATACGTACTTTCAGGGCATTAGACAAAACAATCTCCTCATTGGAGATGCAGCTAGCTGCAGCTAGAGCTGACAAAGCAGATAGTGAGGAAGGATCTCCGATGGTTACGAGATCGAGAACTTCCGGATTGAATAGACGCAGGAAAGTATTCTTTGTTATGGGAATTATTACGGTGTTAAACGGTAGAAAACGAAGGGATTCGATCCGGGAGACTTGGATGCCTCAAGGTTTGATTCAATACTCTTTTGGCATTGTACCAGGGAAGAGGTCTAGTCTAGTATTTATACTTGGAGGTTATTGTTCTTAGGGGAGGAATTAAAGAGGTTGGAGGAAGAGAAGGGAATCATAATTCGATTCGTCATAGGACATAGGTAAATTCGATCGAAAGCTCGAACCATTTAACTTTGACATTGCAGTTAGCTTTTTTAAAACGGTAATGTATCCATGGTCATCAGTTCAACCCCGGATGGTTCTTTGGATCGTGCTATCAATGCGGAAGAAGAGCAACACAAGGACTTTTTGCACCTGGTATGCTATCACTTCTGGCCCGGACCCGATTCAGAAACTCGAAATTTCTACCTGTTAAGTGAAGCTTATGTAGGATTGAATGTTCTGTTTGCAGAATCATATTGAAGGTTACCATGAACTGTCATTGAAAACTCGAAAATACTTTTCGGCAGCGACAGCAAAGTGGGATGCCGAGTTCTATCTCAAAGTCGACGACGATGTACATGTAAATCTAGGTTAGTATTGCCACATAATTAAGCTTCTCAATACTTTCATTTCTTCTCAAACTGATCTATATCTCGGTAACTCAATGTTGAATTATTCTATAGGTACGGTGAGTTCTACACTAGCTCGTCACAGATCGAAACCCCGTGTTTATATCGGTTGCATGAAGTCCGGACCTGTTCTGGCACAGAAGTAAGGAAGAACTTCTGCGAACTTTTCCGATTATCATTCGTGTTTCTTTTCCCGTCGTAGTCACCTCTTTTTTTTGTGTGCAGAGGTGTTAAGTACCGTGAGCCGGAACATTGGAAGTTCGGAGAGGAGGGAAACAAGTATTTTCGGCATGCAGCCGGACAAATATACGCAATCTCCAAAGACTTGGCCATCTATATCTTAGTCAACCGGTACACACTTTATCGGTAAACATGTTTTCAATCATGATCCAATATGTTATTTGCATGTTTTCTTTCCAGGCACATACTTCATACGTATGCGAACGAAGACGTCTCCTTCGGCTCCTGGTTTATCGGTCTCGATGTCGAGCATATAGATGATATAAATCTATGCTGTGGTACCACTCCCCCGGGTAAGATGGTAACCGTTATGCTTCACTTATATGCAGCTCGGCGATTTTCGTGATTCGTTAGCTTTCTCCCACCACGGAGAGTGCACCGAAACAATCTATCGATGACGACGATGTTTAAATTTGTTAAAACAGATTGCGAGTGGAAAGCTCAGGCTGGGAGTCCGTGCGGTGCATCGTTCGATTGGAGCTGCAGCGGCATTTGCAAGTCGACGGAGAGAATGGAGGAGGTGCACCGGCGTTGCGGGGAGGGCGGAAAATTACGTCCAAATCGAATTACTTAAATGACTTTCCAAATACATCCTTAGAACGTAAATAATGATACGGTATAATTTGAAAGTCATCAAAGTTAATTATTCGTGTAAGCCCTCAATCCTCAACCTTGTGTGAAAATTGAAAAATGTAGTTGAAGAAGATTGTAGATGAAAAAAGAGTTAATTGCACCACACATCCTCAAACCATGACCTAATTCTAACTTAATTCTTAAACTTTTAAATATTTCAATTTCATCTTCAAATTATGACTTCCATTTGATATTGATCTCCAAACTGTTGGATATTCTAAATTCAATTCTAAGCTATGACCCTCATTTTGTATTGGTCCCCAAACTTTGAATGTTTCAATAACATCCCCAAAAATCATTAAAAATTTTAGGGATGAAATTGAAACATTCAAAAGTTTAAAGACCAATATAGAATGAGGATCATAGTTTGGGATGAATTTGGAATGTTCAAAGTTTACGGATCAATTTAAAATGAGTCATAGTTTAAGAATAAAATTAAAATATTTTAAAAATTAAGGACCAATTAGAATAATGATCATGATACGAGGACATTTAATATAATTAACTCTAAAAAACTAAGGCTTGTTTAGGATGGATAATGAAAATTGTATTAATCAAATGGTTAATATCTATAACTACTTACTATCTTATAGTTTTGGATATTAATTATCTTATTAACAAAAATTTCATTCATTCACATCATGTAAAATCTTTTTTCTAAGTAGTTTGGGTGATTATAAGATAATATTTATTTAAAATCTTTCTCAATTATTAACAACGAACACACATGAGTTCATGTATAATATAGGATAAATTCTACATTTAGTACCTAAACTATCAATTTTAATCCGTTTTAGTACCTAAACTTTCAATTTGTTCAAAACCATACCTAAAGTTTAGTTTTTTTTTTTATTTATTTTAGTATCACACGGTTAACTTTAATTTTTTTTATTTTAGCATCTCATTCAAAATTTAACGTTCAGTTTTGAAAAAAATTGAAAGTTTAGATACTCAAACAGACTAAAATCGATAGTTTAGGTACTAAAGGCGTTAAGTTTTTAACAGTAAATACTCAAATGAAATGAAAAATAAATATTATATATGATTAAAAAATAAAATTTAAGTTTTAAAATAGATCAAAATTAATAATTTAAATATTAAATACGTAATTTATCCTAAAATCTAAATATTTAAAACATTGGTGTTTTAGAATTGGACGGTCGAACATTCAAAACGAGAGTGTGCGACTGTTCACACTAAACTTCATATTCCGACCATGTATTTTGGAGGAAAAAAAAAGTAGACCAAGTCAGTCTTTTTAGGCATGTGCGGAACTATGGGAGGGTAAGGGGAGCTTTCGTCCCGTCATTTATATTTTAAATTATTAATTAATATAAAAAATACAATTTTTAAAAAAGCAAATAATTTTTTTATTATGCCTCTTTAATTAAAAATATATTTATAAAAAATAAAAAATATTTAACTTCTACTATAATAAATTCATAATTCCGCTCTTTGACGTCTAATGTATTACGGTTGAATGTAAGGGGCCATTGCCAAACTCCATAACCCGGCTTCAATTGGAAGCACACAAAATTTCGCATGCCAAAAGCATGGTTGTTTTTTAGTGTTCCCGCATCGTTCAATTCAATAACAAAGACAAGCATGGAGGTTCGGCAGCTTGCCATAGGAGAAGAGAGGTTTTCACGAAAATTCTATAAAAAAAAATCTCCTACTTTGACCTTTTTAAAGCTAGTTAAAATAATTTTTTTAATTCAATTTAATCCAAAAAGTCTAAATTACCTTTAATAAATTCTAGAATTTACTCTCATGCCACTCCGTTATATCTATTTTAATATTATTAAATAACCATATAAATCTCATTTCTCAAATTTTCTTTTTGACCTCCAATTTCTAAAATTTTAATTTAATCACTAAATTACACTATTTCACTTTATAGTACAATTCTTGCCAAATTCCACCAATCCAACTTAAACTCCACTTGTTAAAAATATCCATATAATTTTTCTAACCAAAAAACTACCTCCTTCAAATTTTTATAAACTTTCGATTCGATTCGATTGGTAGAGTATTATACAGATCTTCATCCTTTAATAGACTTTTATGCAAATTCCATATTAAAAATCTAAAACCCACTAAAATAATTATCTTAGGCTAAACTACTTATCCACAAACCCAAAATATAAGTTTTAAAATTTTACATTTTTTATCTCTGAACTTTCAAATTTTTACATTCTAGTCACTAGTCCAAAATTTAGGATATTACACTAGGTCTCCCAAAACCGAACGAGTTTCATCAATGAGAGATCAATAACAGAAAATATTATCATTGCTCAGGAAGTGATGCACCCATGCAAATCAAGAAAGGCAAAAAACAGTCTTATGACTATCAAAATTGGCCTTGAAAATGTGTATGACCGCCTAGATTGGGGTTTTATTGATGACACACACAGGGATATTGGCTTATCGGATAGACTTCATAATTTGATTTTGAAATGTGTTTCGTCGGTCTTAACCCAAGTTTTATGGAATGGATCTTCTTTGGAATCGTTTTCCCTCAAAGGGTATTCGATAGGGTGATCTGCTTTCTCCAGATCTGTTCATCTTATTATGGAGAGGCTTGCTCAATCCATTCAGCAAAGTGTGGCGGTTAGTGATTGGAAACCTATTCGGCTAGTTCGCAACGAGCTGACAATCAGCCTTGCAAAAACAAGTATTTTGTTTTCTAAAATTGTAGACCAACGGTGCATAGATTCGATCATTGCTTTGTATGGTTTCAAGGAAGTTAGTGACTTTGGTAAATATCTCGGGGTGCCACTCTTTCATAATCGTGTTACCAAAGCTACTTATCAACACTTGGTTCAGAGAGTTCGAGATCGACTTACTGGATAGGTGACGAAGAGTTTGTCTCTAGCCGGTAGAATCATATTAATTCATTCCCTTCCAATTGATGCAATATACTCCTCTTCCGAAAGAAGTTTGTTCTGAGATTGAGAAGATAATCTGGGACTTTCTTTGAGATAAACCATAAACGAGAAATGGGATTAGCTTGGTGCATCAGGACAAGATTTGCTCCCCTATCTCCACAGGTGGTCTTGGTTTAAAGTAGTTGGAAAAAAAAATGATGCATTTATTATGAAAATTGCTTTTAATCTTGTTACTCGACCTAATCAATTATGGGTGCAAATGCTTCGCACTAAATTCAAGTGGGAAAGAAACATTCCGGAATACATTTCTCGAAATATCTGTTCCCGACTTTGGAGGGGTGTAAGTGTAGTTTGACCTGATGTTCGTTCCAGCTTAGTGCGGACAGTTGGAGATGGGTCGTCAATTGACTTCTAAAAAGATCCATGGCTTTGTATGATTGCAACGACGATCCCGCCTAAGGTACAAAAAATGGACTGCCTAGGGTGGAAATGGAATCCGAACCTCGTTCCCGGTCAGATCAGCGTATGATGTTCGGTCTGGAGGTATGTCAGAAACAACCGATAAATTGTGGACCATCATTGTGAAATACCGAGGTTTGCCTTGGGTAAAGGTCTTTTTATGGTTGCTAGCTTGTGATAGACTCCTCACTGACAAAGAGCGAGTCAAGCGTCATATGAGCACCTCTTCGAAGTGTGGTGTATGCGATTCAACTGATGAGCATTGACCACTTATTGCGTACTTGCCCAACTACACTGGAAGTATGGAAGCGTCTTTTAGTTAAGTTAGATAAGTTATTGACTGCTTATTAAGCTTATGAATCTGAGGCACTTTTTGATAGATGATAAAAAATGACATTTATTATTTGGAGCGGTTCTTTGGAATCTTTAGAAACATAGAAACATGTGCATTTTTTATACTTCAAGACTGAGGATTAGTTCAAGCAAAATATTGCAGACCGAAAGTATTAGATTCATGGAAGCATATGCAAACTGTAATTATCGTCTGCCTTTGAATTGTCCAGGCGCAACTACACGGGAGCCTCCTCCAGATGACTGCTTGAAGCTTTAATACAGATAGGGCAAGAGATGCGAATGACTATGCGTCTTGTGTGGGAGTGTTTCGCAACAGCAGAGGTGTGTGGATCGATCTTCGATTTTGCTAGAGCAATTGGAATATGTTCAGTTTTGGAAGCGGAACTGTGGGGGGCTCTTGAAGGATTGAGGAATTCCTGGAGTATTGGGACAGGGCGTATTATTCTTGAAGTTGACAATGGTGAGGTTTACCGAATCTTGAACCGGTCCAATTTGAAAGAAGTTTCACCAACGACTATTCGACATATAAGTGGGCTTTTGGAAAGGAACTGGGTAGTTTCCTTCTCGCAGGTGCGTCGAGTAGCAAATAGAATTGCCGATCATGTTGCTAAGATGGTCCAACATGATGATTTTGAGGGGAGAAGGTTCTGATATGCTCCAACTGCTATTAACACGGTTCTTCTTGAAGAATGCTTAGGCGCAAATAGTTAACCTTGCTGGCCTTCTTTGTTTACCAAAAAAAATTATTTTGAATATAAAAAATATTCGAGGTCCACATTGATATTTTAGAAAAATTTGAGGGCTTTATATAGCAACTAATTAAAATAAAGAAATTTGGATGGAACACGAAAACCAAGGGAACGCGGCGACCACAAATTCAAGTGGGGGACGAATCAGAAACACAAAGGATAGGAGAGAGAAAGAAAGTGATAGTGTTGTCAGTTGTTTGTTACCGTCTAAACTTAAACACCCGAAACCATCGGAAGTATTATGTGCGGCAGCTTAACATATGGTTAAGTAAAATTGTTATCGATTTTATTATATTTTTAATAAAATCAATAATAATTATCAAAAAAATTATTATTTTATTAATTTTGTTATTATTAGATGTTTTATCAGGTTTAATAATATACTAGGTAAATATTACTAAGTTCGGTAAAGCGTTCAATAATATTTTAGGTATAAATAATAATATTTTCTGTAATTTTTATCAATTTTATTAAAATAAATAACAAAATTAATAATCCATTTTCTTAATTGTATATTAAAATTATTGTATGATAGAACTTCTCTGAAACCATGCAATGCTCCTTCACCCACGCCAACTCAATATATTATATGTTGTACATATTCCGAATAATATATTAAAATAAATACTAATATTAATGTCTAAAAATTTATAA